TTAAATCAGTCTTTAAATGTAAGAGTGCTAATGTCAACAAAAAAAGAAAGCAAATCAGATATTTTAGGTCTTTTATGGTCTTGCCAAAGGAATCTAACCTAAATCTGATTTGTATTGAGTCAAACTACCAATTTTCAGGAATCCTCTGTATCCTCTGTAGGATACAGAATTATAATGATATGCACCATGAGTACACAATCAGTGCATTCCAGGCTATGAAAAACTCTACATGTCAAATGACTCTGGTTCTTCAAGAGATAAAATTATAAGGGAAAAAAGGAATGGAGAGGAAACCTATAAAATGAAAGCAACTTAAGAAACATCAATTTTGGGACGCCTGGGTGGCTCAGTTGGTTGGACGACTGCCTTCAGCTCAGGTCATGATCCTGGAGTCCCAGGGTCGAGTCCCGCATCGGGCTCCCGGCTCCGCGGGGAGTCTGCTTCTCTCTCTGACCTTCTCCTTGCTCATGCTCTCTCTCACTGTCTCTCTCTCAAATCAATAAAAATAAAAAATCTTTAAAAAAAAAAAAAAAAAAAGAAACATCAATTTTTTTAATAGGCATGACTAAAGGATAGTGTCTAGGGATGAACATTTGGATGATAAAATTATAAAAATATACAAGTAATTACCATTAAAGTGAAGATAATGGTGTGCTACTATAATGCTTATTTAAGGTGAGAAAAGCATTGTGACTGGAATGGGACACACAGAAGGGGGTTTTAGGATGAATGGTTAAGTCTTCTCTCTAGACTTGGGTAGTGGATTCAAGGTTATACTTCAGAATAATTCATTAGGCAAAACACGGTTTTTTGTGGTTTTCTGAATTTCACTTAATAATAAAAAGATTCTTATTCTACATAATGAAAATGCAGTTTTTATTTTATCACAGTTCTTTACACTTCGCATATATTTTATAAATTTTCTTTTGTACCTGTTCAGTATTAATTGAAAATTTTTAAAGAAAAAAAAATATTGTAATAAATCAACAAATAAAAATAAGACAAAAGATTTGGTCCTAAAAAAAGAAAACTGTTCAAAATGAACATTTATCTAAGGGCACCTGAGTGGCTCAGCTGGTTAATGTGTCTACCTTTGGCTCAGGTCATGATCCCAGGATCCTGGGATAGAGCTCCACATCAGGCTCCCTGCTCAGCGGGGTGTCTGTTTCTCCCTCTTCCTCTGACCCTCTGCCTGCTTGTGTGTATGCTCTCTCTCTCTCCACCCTCCCTCCAAATAAATAAATAAATAAATAAATCTTAAGGAAAAAAAGAAAACTCATCCTGGTTAAGATCATAGTCCAAATGCTAAGTTGAATTCAGGCCCTGGCCATTCACCAATTCCCTAAGTCTCAATTTCCTCCTATACAAAAATGGGATAATAAAAGATCTGAGGATAACAAATAATATTTTTATAATATTATTTTTATATTATTTATAATATTCGTATATTCTTATTATTATATTATTAATTCACCATGTAAAAATGCATTCATTTTCCATTTCTAACATAACTTTTTAATTTAAGCCAAGAAAGCATCCATTTATAGAAAAGCAATTTTATATCATTTAAGGGATCAAATAATCAAGATCTAGAATTCCTTACTACTCAAGTACAGAAATCCCTTATAACAATACATAGCAGTCCATTTCTTTAGCAATGTATTTACTGAACACAGAAAAGTACTTACCACACAGTTCACAAAACAAAGTCCCTGTTCTCATAAGCTATTATTCTAGTAGAATGACATAGACCAAGATAAAAAGAAATAAACAGATAACAGATCAGATAGTAATAAGCCTAAGAAGAAAAATAAAGAAGGATGATGTGATACTCAAGGGAGAGGAGGTACTATTTCAGTCAGGGAGACCTCTCTGAAAGAAAAAAAAATTAATTAATTAATTAATTTAATTTAAAAATATATATATATGCCTTCTGGGGAAACAGCATTAGAGAGAAGACAGCAAGCCTAAAAGTACTGAGGTAGAAAAATACCTTATGTGTTCAAGAAATGATAAAACCAATGGTGGCTAAAACAGAATGAATAAGAATACAGTAGAAAGACATTACATCAGAAAGAATGAAAGGGAAGATATTGTAGGGTTTTATAGACCACTGTAAAGAGTTTTAGATTTTGTTCTTAATCAGATTAAGAAACTACTGAGCCTAGGAGTAGTATATTCTTTTGTTTGTTTGTTTGTTTGTTTGTTTGTTTTAAGTAGGGTCTATAACCAGCGTGGAGCCCGACATAGGGCTTGAACTCATGACCCTGAGATTGAGACCTGAGCTGAGATCAAGAGTCGGACACTTAACCTACTGAGCCACCCAGGCACCCCCTAACTTATTTTTATTAATCACTTTGTCCATGCAAAAAAGAGTGGTGGTTAGTATGCAGGAGCAGAAGTGGAAATAACAGTAAGTGTCAGACTCTGGCTATCCTACCTTTTATATAGTCTCAGCATTATAAAAATTGTAATAAATTAAATTATAAAAATTATAATAAATGCTAAGCTAATATCTTTTTAAAATATTGTTATAAAAATAAAAGTCCTTGAGAAATGCTTTTAAAACATAGCATTATACCCTTGAGGTCTACCCATGTTGTTGTAAATAGCAAGATCCATTCTTTTTTATAGCTGAATAATATTCCATTGTATGTATATACCGTATTTTTTTGCTTCATATCTTGGCTATTATAAATGATGCTACAATAAACACAGAGGTGCATGTATCTTTTCAAATTAGGATTTTCATTTTCATTTTACCCAGTAGTGAAATTACTTGATCAAATAGAAATTCTATTTTTAATTTTTTAAGGAACCCTCATTCTGTTTTCCACAATGGTTGTACCAATTTGCGTTCCTAGCTACAGTGCACAAGGGTTCCTTGTTCTCCACATCCAGGCCAACACTTGCTGTTTCTTGTGTTTTTCACTTTAGACATTCTGACAGGTGTGAGGTAATATCTCATTGTACCTTTGATTTGCATTTTCCTGATAATTAGTGACTGGTCCTAAAATAGAAATGCTAGATGGTATAATGCTAAATAACATATGTCAGAGAAGACAAATACAATGATTTCACTTACACGTGGAATTTAAGAAGCAAAACAAACAAACAAAGAAAAAAAGAGATGAGGGGCCCCTGGGTGGCTCAGTCATTAAGTGTCTGCCTTTGGCTCAGGTCATGATCAGGTCATTATCCCAGAGCCCTGGAATCAAGCCCCACATAGGGCTCCCCGCACAGCAGGAAGCCTGCTTCTCCCTCTCCACTCCACCTGCTTGTGTTCCCTCTCTCGCTGTCTCTCTGTCAAATAAATAAATAAAATCTTAGGAAGGAAGGAAGGAAGAAAGGAAGGGAAGGAGGGAGGGAGAGAGGGAGGAAGAAAGGAAGAAAAGAGAGACCAAAACACTCTTAAATACAGAGAACAAACTGCTGGTTGCCAAAGGGCAGATGGTAGGGTGATGGATGAAATAGATAAAGGAGTTTAAGAGTACACTTATCATTATGGGCACTGAGTAAGAATTCTTGAAACATTATACTGTACACCAAAACTAATATAACATTATATGTTAATTGTACTTCAAAAAAAGAAAACACATAACCAGTGGAAGACTACACTTCTATAAGAGGTGGTTAAACAAATCTATGAGAAATAGAGACACCTGCCTGGCTCAGTTGGTAAAGCATGCACTACTGATGTCAGGATCATGAGTTTAATCCAACACTGGGGGGTAGAGTTTACTTTAAAAAAAAAAAAAAAACCACCTAATTTATGAGAGATAGTGGCTATTAAATGTTAAGGTTCTAAAGTCAAATTTCCTGGTTTTGATCCTAGTTCAATCACTAAACACGTAAATTTTAGCAAAGTTTCTCGATACCTCAATTTTCTCATTTGTCAAATGTGAAAATAATGGTTATAGTACTCGTGATTAAATATGAATATAAAGAATTTAGCTGATATACAGTTAACAACTCAGTAAATATTAGCTATCAAATTTATTATTCTATTTCCACTTATTTCCACTGCCACATTTCCACTACTACTTTTTCACACTGCCATCACTATGTATAATATTCTTCTTTAAGACTGGTTACATACCCATTTAAAAATTATCACAAAAAAAAGAACTTTAAGTATTCCTAACATTGCATATTTGATACGGTTTTTATTCAAAAGTATAGTTTCTGCTTCAGACGTAGCAAAGCACTTTGTATTATAGTTTTCTTTTAGCTTTATGGATCACTCTCCTTAAGGATAACTAAATATTTGAATTTGTAAGAAACCAAAGCAATTCCTGCTAACATTTTTTTCTTCACTTCAAAATTAAATTAAAAACAAAATTAGGGGCACCTGGGTGGCTCAGTCGTTAAGCATCTGCCTTCAGGTCAGGTCATGATTCCAGGGTCCTGGGATGGAGCCCTGCATCAGGCTCCCTGCTCAGCGGGAAGCCTGCTTCTCCCTCTCCCATTCCCCCTGCTTGTGTTCCCTCTCTTGATGTCTCTCTCTCTCTCTGTCAAATAAATAAATAAATAATCTAAAAACAAACACAAAACAAAATTAATGTTACATCCCACAAGGCTCTGAAAAATCCAACAGAGACTATGACAAGAACGATTATTACATACGAATCATAATCACTTGGACTTTTTGTGTAGTTAGTCACATTCTTATTTTATCCTGCTGTATATCTGTATGTATGAGTAGTTAGATAAACTGTTTGGGGCCAAATATTTGGTGCCCTTTCACATTTGACAAGCTTCCAACTAAAGATACATAAGAAAATGGTAACAATACTTGCCTCTGGGACAGGATATAAGTGAAGGGCGAGAAAGAGACAAACTTTGTACTTAAAAACATTGGCTTAATTTGGGTTCCTTCCTTAGCACATACATTCACTTTTGGAACATAAAATAGGTTTTAAAGAAAAAAAGATCCATGTATTAATAATTTACAAGACGATTTTTTAAATGTCTCATATTTCACCATAATCGCAGCTTACCAGATTGAAGATGCCAGTAATATATTAGTGTTGTTTGCAAGAAACCTCAATGGAGGCTCTGCAAGCAATACACAGGATAAAATTCCTCCACCAAAGCAATGGAGCATAGCAGTAAACCAGCTTGAAAGAGGATTCTTCCATGCCACTGCCGCAGCTCCTGAAATGGTAAAATAAAAATGTGGTCTGAGATAACTGTATGCTAAACAAATCCTAAGGTACCAATGGCACTAAAGAAATAAACTTAATTTCATAACTTTCAAAAGCTTACTATTACTCATAGGTGTGGCAATCATGATCATCACAAACTCTACCTATTGTTCTTTAAACCAAGACTGGAAACATTTTAAGACATACATAATTTGGGGCACCTTTAAAATACTCTGTCCGGGCTCTTACTGCCAGTTTCCCACTAGCACATTATTATAAACAATCTCCCTACCTACTCTCTCCTTTTATTCCCAGCCCTATTTTAAGTACTTCCAGTTGATATGTCAGAGCAAATTTGAAGAAAAATTATCTTAAGCACTTTAAAAAATAAAAGCTGAAATAAATAAACTAAGCTTTTAACATGACAGGCTAGAAACAGAATCACAAAATAAACCCAGAGGTGAAATGTTGATGAGGAACAGATACATACACAATCTTAAAATGCTTCCTAACAAGGCACTTATTAATTACAGAGGGAAATAGTAATTTTAGAGTGGAGAAACCTTGCAGACATTACTATAAACAAACATCAGGTGACTCTTGTTATGATTCACCAAGAACACATCTTTCTCCTACAGTACTGCTACCAACAATATATAACCTAAACTAACCTAATCAGATACACCCAAACTGAGGGCGCTTCTGGAAAAAAAACCTCGCCTATACTTTAGCAAAGCCAAGTCAAGAAATACAAAAACAAAACAAAGGCTGATGAAATGCTCCAGATTAAATAACATGAAAGAGGCAACAACTACATACAATGCATATTCTAGATCATATCCTGGAGTGGGAAAGAATATTTATAAATGACCTTTTTGGACAACTGATGAAATCTAAATATGGACCCTGGCCTAATAACGGTGTTATTAAACTTTCTGATTTTAGTAACTGTTTTGTGGTTCGTAAATATTAACACACTTAAGTAATTTGAAGTAACTGGGCAAATGCTTCCAATTTACATTCAAGTGGCTCTGAAAAAATAATATGCATAAATAAAAACATTCAAAGAGATGCTAAAGTACAAACTTCTAGTTATAAAATGAATAAATTCTGGGGATTTAATGTACAGCATAGTGACTACAGTTATTAATACTGTATTGTACACTTAAAATTTGCTAAGACAGTCAATCTCAAGTCACCACCACCAATTTAAAAAAAAAAGTAACCATGTGAGATAATGGGTGTGCTAATTAACTTGAGTGAGAATCATTCAACAATCCATATGCATATCAAACCATCAAATTGTACACTTTGAAGATATATAATTTTATCAATTATACCTCAATAAAGCTGGAAAAAATATATGGGGCAAAATGTAAATGGTTGGTGAATCTGAGTAAAGTATATGAGAATTTCTTGACCTATTCTGGCAATTCTGTAAGTATGAAATATCAAAGGGAAAGTACAAAAAAATAAAATAAAAAATAAACTCAGCCAGAAAAATAGAAGCAATTTATAAAAATCAAAGTAGAAACCCATTAAACAGAAGCTAGAATAGGGAGATGAAGATGGGCAACCAGAAAGCCAACCCAAAGTTATTACTGGAAAAGACCAATAAAACAGACCATTGTTCAACAAGTCTAAGAAAGGGGCAGGAGCAGAAACAAAAATAATGCAAAACATTAGAAGGAAAAATAAGGAAATAGTTTTATAGTTTTTTAATTATAGGAAAGCAACATGCATTTAATCTAATAAATGTGAAGATGCTGTTGAAATGGACAGTATAAATCAGCAAAATTCCCTTAAGAATAGACAGAAACTTGAATCTACATATAACTAGGGGGAAAAAAGACTACAGGGCAAAAATCTATCTTAAGAAAGGTGCTAACCTCAATAAATTAATGGAAAACATTTACCAAATATTTTTGGATTACTCATTTTTATTCTATATAACCATTATGGAATATAGCAAAGGAGAAAAACTTAAATCATTCTATGAAACATACTCCCAACATCAAAAATTATAAATAAAGAAAAAAGAGACAGTGAGAGAGGAAGGAGGAAGGGGAAAAGATAGGAAGGGAGGGAGGAAGGAAAGGATGAAGATACACTATAATTCTAACTTAGAAGTATAATAACAAATTGAAATCAGTAGTTTTTTGAAAAGATAATAAATCATGACCAAGTAGATTTTATCCAAAGAATTAAAAAGGATTCAGTATTGGGCGCCTGGGTGGCTCAGTGGGTTAAGCCGCTGCCTTCGGCTCAGGTCATGATCTCAGGGTCCTGGGATCGAGTCCCGCATCGGGCTCTCTGCTCAGCGGGGAGCCTGCTTCCCTCTCTCTCTCTCTGCCTGCCTCTCTGTCTACTTGTGATCTCTCTCTGTCAAAATCAATAAATAAAATCTTTAAAAAAAATAAAAAATAAATTTTAAAAAAAGGATTCAGTATTTAAAAATTCATTTAAATCATTCACCATACTAACAAATTATCATCTCCCCTTTAGAAAGTTAAAGACCTAAAAATTCAATGTTCCTGATTTTCAAAAAAATCTAGCAATCTAAGAACAGAAGGAAAAGTACTTAACCTGAATTAAGCTATAAAGGGAAAGACTAGGGGCGCCTGGGTGGCTCAGTGGGTTAATGCCTCTGCCTTCGGCTCAGGTCATGATCTCAGGGTCCTGAGATCGAGCCCCGCATCGGGCTCTCTGCTCGGCGGAGAGCCTGCTTCCCCCCTCTCTCTCTGCCTGCCTCTGCCTACTTGTGATTTCTGTCTGTCAAATAAATAAAAAAAAAAAAAAAAAAAAAAAAAGGGAAAGACTATTTTGACCCCACTAAAATTTAAAACCTCTATATGAAAAAAGTCTGGAACAGTGTTTTTCAATTTACATAAGGCAAATTCCAGTAAATCAACAAAAAAAGACAGCAAACACAAGAGAAAAATGAGCAAGTCACAAAGTGGGAAATATAAATGATTAATAAACATACCAAAATAAGAAAGTCCTCCCTTAAGTCATCAGTAATCAAGAAAAAACAAAATTTAAAAAGATGTTATATTTCTCACACATCCAATTGGCAAAAAAATGTACAGCTTAATATTTATTAACTTATTAGTCAGCAAAGGTCTGAAGAAATTCATATACTCCTGTGAGTATTAAAAAGTCATTCTGAAGAATAATTTGGGAGTATAAATAAAAAATTTCATTTAAAACTGACTCAGTACCCAAGAAATGTCATACAAGAATATTAAAGCAGTGTGTTTATAACACTGTGAAAAAAATGAAAAAAAAATCTAAACAACCATCATTAGAGAACAGTTAAACCATGATCATTTGTGCTATGGAATATTATCCAGGAGCAATAAAGAGTGTGATAAAGCAGTATCAACATGGGATATTATTATTCAGTAAAAACAAGGAACCAAATACAATTATGTAGAACAGTAGTATTACAGCATGGAATCATTTATTTTTTTAATTTTTTGAGAATCATTTATGAGCAAAAATGCAAACACGATACATTTCTCTAGGTACCTGCGTATACATGGAATGCAAAGAATAGGGTCTGCAATACACCAACATGTTAACTGTTACTGTCTCTTGAGGAAACCTAGGATTTGGGAGGATGCTCAAAGGGGATTTAAATTTATTTAATTATACCGAGTAAATTATTTAATCATATTGGGATTCTTTTAAATAAAATGTTCATTTACTAGTTGTATAATTAAACAAAATTTTAACAAATTATGTCACACCCAATCTGTGGAATACAATGCATCTTTTTAAAAGAATGTAGCGGCTTTACATGTACTGATGTGACCAAAAAAAAATCATGTGTGTATACATAATATATACAGTAAGAAATCATTTACAGGGAAAAAACAGAAAACCAGTTATTCTATCAGAATATTATACAAGTAATAAATAAAATAAGGTCTGCAAGAATTTATAACCAAACAGTTAACTGTTGTTATTGCTTGGGAAAAGGCCCATTTAGGCAAAAACAAAACAAATTACATAAATGTATGTGTGAGTTCAGTAGAGTAACATCATCATACTTGTATTAACATGGAAATTCGGGGTGCCTGGGTGGCTCAGTGGGTTGGGCCTCTGCCTTTGGCTCAGGTCATGGTCTCAGGGTCCTGGGATTGAGCCCTGCATCAGGCTCTCTGCTCAGCAGAGAGCCTGCTTCCCCACCCCCACCGCCACCTCCCCCGCTCTCTCTCTGCCTGCCTCTCTGCCTACTTGTGCTCTCTCTCTGTCAAATAAATAAATAAAATCCTTTTAAATAATGGGAATTCATCTGTGTGTGCTCAGGAAAACAAAGCAAAAGGAGGAGATAAAAGTCAAATAGTGCAACCCACCATTCCATACAACAAAATGTGCCCAGGAGTGAACATGAGTTGGCAGATGTGCATTTTCTGTGGTGTACACATCCTGTCAAGTGAAGTGATGCCAAGGTTTAATGATATGCATTTGGTGATAACTCAAGAAATGGTGACCTGTTCCAATCTGGAAGAAAATTCAGTTATGAGAAATGTACTAAAAGACAGGGTATCAATCTTCAGTGTAGCAATTTCCCCTAAACTTTGTTTGATAATACATGATCATGCTGTCTTTAAAGCCCAAGTCCCATATAAGATGTGATACCAGTATGTCTCTACCTGAATATTATGACCTACCTAAATATGTGTATAGGCAATACAGCACCACACAGTGGTGACTGATTATAACATTGGTCAGTCAGCCTAATAAATGAGTATAATCTTTTCTTTAGGTAATGGTCACTAGCTCCCATACTGCACCATCTTCATGTTGAAAAGCAATAGAGAGGGGCACCTGGGTGGCTCAGTCAGTTAAGCATCTGTCAGCCTTGAGCTCAGGTCATGATTCCAGAGTCCTGGATAGAGCCCCACATAAGGCTCCCTGCTCAGTGGGGAGTCTGCTTCTCCCTCTCCCTTTGCCCCTCCCCCCCACTTGCCTGCACCTCTCTCTTTCTCTCTCTCTCAAATA